ACATAATAATTGTTCAAATTAAAAAATTATTTTAAAGTTTTTTTTATTTAAATCAATTGATAATTAATCTTTGTAAAAGTATCATAAATTTTTTCCATAGTAATTAATTAACAAACGATAAGTACTACTCTTAATCAATTTTTTTTGTTGCATTATCATTTTTTCTTACTGACATTAAAAAATCACAATAAATACAAAGAGTTGTTGATTGATTCAACAATTCTGAAATGTGTTGTTAAATATTACGTAATGATTGTAACAGACAAGTTTCTTAAAAACGAGAAATATAAGAATATAAAATTCGCGCATTATTAAGTTTGTTGTCAACTATTTTTTATTTTATTGCAATTTTTTGAAATGATAAATTTATGGGTATTACCAGAATATTTAACAGTCAAAAAAAATGTTTTAAATTTAAACTTGGTAGATATAATCTTAAATAAAAATAATCTTATTGAGGAAAAATAAAGTTGCAAATAGTTATTAAAACTGCTGATGTAATGATAGTAATAAAATTAAATCAAACGGATAGAAATAGAATTTTCAGAAATAAGATATAGATTCTCTCTGTAAAGTCAAAGCCGAGAGAAAAGAAAAGGTGAAAGGGCACGAAGAGAAGGCAAGATGCGATGTCGCAATTCCAAGAAAACTAAGAGGGTCGCCTTGGTCCTCGCATAAATCGATTTAATTTACCTCGCGAAAATGTTTCTCGCGTTAACGATCAAAGACGCATTCCATCTTTAACTCCACCATACAATAAATAATGAATTTTTTTCGCAATAAATACTAACAACGCTTTAGTCTCGTATGAAAAAAAGAACGTGATATTAAATGTTTCCCGCATAATTTATGTACTATAGATAACTGTACGATCAGAAATATCTCTATGAATAGCTCTATATATATCATATATTATCTATAACTTTCCTCGCGTATGTAACAACACACGAAATATATGGGGGAGTCTAAAGAGCCTTTATAGCAATAAGAATGACATTTTTTTGAATATACTTCACGCTTGCTTCGATAAAAACCGCCATCATTTCTCATAACTTTCAGCATTAAGTATGTTATCCGGCATCAGAATCCGACTCCAAATCATTTTCAGATTAAATGTCTGATTTCAGATAAAATCCAAATAAAATATCGTCGACGTGAGCGAACGGTGATCAAGTCGAAGGTTATAGCCAGCCGTGTTATTTAAAATCAGAGCAGATCTTCGTGAGGTGACATCCAGTTGTGAGTTTCATGTGACGTTGACAAAAAGGGAAAGAAGAGAGAGAGAGAGAGAGAGAGAGAGAGAGAGAGAGGAGGGAGGGG